TCAAATATAAATTTTAAAATTTTATTTGATTATATTACTTTAGAAATTGCTTATTAAATAAATAAATTTATTTAAATTATTTCTAATTTAATAAATAAATAAATGTATTTATTTAATATAATAATTTATTGAAAAATGTTAATATTATGACAACTTTATTTGCGATTGAACTGCATTGGTTTTGAACATCAATACAACTTATTAAAGAAAATGTACAAGTATGTTGAAAAATCAGAAAAAATTTTAATATTTAAAAAAAACTGTATTTTATATGTTCGCAATTAATAGTTTTAAAATGAAATATATAATATATAAAACATAGGCTCCTGAATTTGTAAAGGCCTGCAATTGCACATGCACTTATTGTATTTACGTAAATCAGAAGTCTTTATACAGAGTGAGTTTATGTATTGTATTATTACGGACTATAAAACCGTCGTCTAAGTTTTTAACGATGAAGTGGCATCAAAACATTGATGACACATTCAGAAGCTGTAGACTTATAAAATACAGTGAGCAGCTACAATTTATTTACTTATGAGTTGTAAAGAGTAATTTTTGTTCTATAATTAGTTCTGCAGTTCAAATAATGTGTATTTATTTTTATAGTTTATTGTACAATATTTTTTTTTTTTTTGAATATCTTTGAATAGAAAATAGAAAATTTTTTGACACAAGTAATGAAATCTACAAATTTTTCAGGTAAAAAAAAATTATGAATGCGTAAACGAATCATATGGTATGGATATGAAGTGTTCATATAGAAGGTTACAGCTTTGGGTCCGATAAATGAAACAAAAAAAAAAAAGTAAGATAGACAAGACACGGATATGCATAATAGTAGACTATTATAATAGGTCATCGGTTTTGGTGGAAATATATGAAAAAAAAAACCCATAAAAAAAGTAATCAAATTTTTTTTGTAAAACGTTTGGTGGGCAATTTACGAATCGGTCGCAAGAGGCATTGATATGCGCCAACCACTGCTGTTATGGAACATAAAATATTTACATAATATTATGTTTTCGTTACCTATATATAATATGCCGTCTATATTGACGATGACGACGACAACAAAGAAAAATGGTGAACAAGAGGTAATAATATATAAATTTGTTTCTCATATTCTTTGTGACGGTCTCGATGACAATATATAATATGTACCTATGGTAAAATTATATACCTCTTTATATATTATTACAGTCGTACAACAATCGTCATTTTCAAAATGTTTCGTTCGCTTTTCATCTGTGCGGAAACGCTTGATTATTGTTATTTTTAAACAAACGGAATCAAATCGATGTGATAAAGTATCTGTTGTACCGTGTTAATACGTATATAATACACAGAATATTCTATAATAATGGTCGGGGTGTGTATGTGTGTAAGTACATAAATAGTTGTGGGACATTCGAGTCGACGATTTTTCGGTCCATTAAGTCTTTGGCTGCAAGACGCGAATAAAATCGTTGTCCGTCGCTTTAAAATTTGTACTGTATGTAAATAAAAAGATGTATAATGAAGATATGGGTGGCACGACGTGTATAATAACTATAGGTAGGTTGTAGGTAACTATTCGAATGAGCGTTGTATTTTATACGACCCGAATAATTCGCTTTCGTTGCCATCTGCGCAGTAACCGTCGTTTATTGCGCGTTAGTCATCGTACGAGGGAAAAAAAAATATGTAAAATGTTAAATAACGAATGCAAAACGACCGCGACTAAGTCGGAATTTTTTTCTCATTTTTTTACAACCAATATTTGTCGATGATAATAATAATAACAATAATATTCCTATAACGTTGTTATAAATTATTATAATAATGACAAGACTATACACCACTTCGAGCGCTTCGACGCAACATAATAGATAATAATAATGAATGAATAAATAAAATAAATGTATAATAATGTTTTATAAAATATTTCCGATGTACAACCTTTGATGTTTTCGCGAATCTTATTGAAACGAATAATTGGTTTTATCATTTACATCGGTTTAATATATTATTAGAAGGAAGCGCGTGTAGGTATATCTTTTGTGTCGTTTATCATTATTATAGACTGCTGTTAAGTTTCGTTTTTGCTATTTTTTTTAAATCAATTTATATTTTACGACGAATATTACACGTTTACCTTTTGAATAAACTGTTTCGTTTATTCAATTTTTTTTTTTTTTTAATTCGACCGAAGAATACCTATTATTTCTCATATCTATGTGTTTTTCACATGTAATATATTAATGCGTTTACGAATGGATATAATTTTTTAATAAATTGGCCGTGTGTGCGAATCAAACATTCATCTATAACCAAATGCAATACGAACCAACTAATCAACAAAACGCAAAAGCTTATTAATACTATTGTTGTTCAATATTATGTTACTTAATATTCATATTTTTTTTTATAGATACTACATTATAAAAATGTCAATTTGTTGCTATTACGAATTATGTGATCTATGTATTTTAATTCAATGTAATGTTACGTCCATTAGTTACATACGTATACCATGGACAGATTTTTAATAAAAAATAAATAAAAACACTTGCATAATACTCGTATTATAAAATGCATCATTAATATCTCTCACTAATGTTTGAATAATAAATATAATAAAATAGTTGGTAGCCTAATAATTGATAATATACATAATCAATTTTTATATGATTATATATATAAAAAAACATACGTTATGTGCTATTTTCATTTTTCATTATTGAAATTAGTTATTGATTGGTATTCAATAGTTTCTTTAGCGAAGTTGGTCGATCAATATCACTTTTTAAAATTGCTCTTTTAAAGTTTAAATCCAGAAATAACGTTAATTTTTCTTTTAATTAATTTAGAAAAACTTCATCCCCTAAATATTAAAATTAGATATTTTGTTAAAATTATGATAGGAAGTGTATAATCGCTTCAATTGAAGATTAACTATAATTTTCATTGATTTATGATATAAATATGCAATTTTGTTCAAATATGATTTATTTAAATATGCGTAAAATTGTAAAAAATTGTATTAAATATACAGAATCATGTAAATTTTTTTTAATATATTTTAATTAGTATGATTTGTGAAGTTTATTCCGTCCATCACAGATACCTCATCTATATAATAATAACTAATGTTATGTTTCATATGGCTTGGATATTCATGACTTTGAACTTGAAAAACATATCATATAACACGCTGAAAAAGTAAATTTATATTTGGCTTGTTTCCAAACTGGATGACTGCAAAAATATAATAATACTATATAATATCGACATTATAATTATGGCGTGCCTAAATATTTAGGTACCTACTTAAAATAAACATTTTTATAAGCTGTTGTACATTTATTACACATTATTACTTAATGTGTAACTTTGCTATATTATAATTTGTAGTACACAACGTTATTAAATTTATATTTACATACATTAATTCACCGAATAAGTTTTTCTAAAATATCCGTTTTGAAACTGTGTTTAATGCCTTAAAAAAGCGTATTAATACTATAAAATTTCGTTTAATGGTAAAACTTACACGAGTAGATATGCGTATTTTGTTCGAACTTTGCATGGACCGGATGACCGGAAATACGTTTCATACTATTAGTCATCAATCATCATAGACACATATGCTTTATAAATATAATATAAACATTTTTGTTCTATCTTGTTATATTATTTGTGGTTTGATTATGAAACTGCGTTGTATGATAAATGTGAATTGTGTTCCCATCATAAGTATAAATTATACTACTATAGTGTTGCGAACAACAAATTTAAAGGTAAAATAATTAATAATTTACAAGGCTAGGTTATTGCAATTTTATATTATTATAACATATTACATTATAAAATATTGATTTTTCTTAAACGATAGTTATAATAATAATAAATAATAATAATAATAAGTTGGATGAGAGTTCAAATTTGATTTCAGATTATTTTTAAAATCATCGCAGATTAGCCTTGATTTTTGCAAGATTATTATTTATCATCGAAACATATATATTGGTAAATAATTCGATATTTATTTTTATTAAAATATATTAAAATGCTTAGATTATGTGACAGGTGAAATAAACCATAACTATTTTTACTGCGATGTCCGAATATAGACACAAATCGCAATCGACTATAAATGCGACTTGTATACCTGTCTATATAATAATATTATTAAATAAACTGACAAAAAGAATGGTAAAATCTATCGACCAAATTAAATTAAATCAAAAGGTCAATTATCCTGTGTCTATCTTCTAAAGACTTCAGCGGAAGATAAGAGATAATTATAAATCGACTCCGAATAAGACACACATCTATAATATGATACATCACGGTTATTTGATGTTAAGGGAGTAACCTTTTTCATGCAACACTTGTAGCATACAACTCTTAATTAAATATCTACTAACTGAATACTATCATATCCAATTAAAAAGGGAAGAATTATTATCCTTCACCCACTTACGCCAAATTCATAGTCCTAATTCATTTTATTCAATCAAGTTAAAATACCTACCTAATTCTAATAAATCTGTATCATATCATAAAGTTGAAAAAATTATCATATTTAATGTGTTATGTACAGTATTGCTTCAATCATACATTTTTATAAAATTATGCATTTACAAATGATTATATTGTAAAACTCTCTTTTATTTAGGTAACCAATATGACAACCCTATAACATATATAAAAAAAAAAAAAAAAATAAGAGCTAAAAAAATGCTTGCGTGAGCCTCTTTACGTATAGCTAATTTTATTGGTTGGCAAAAGAAGCTATAAACACTCACTTAGTCTCAAGAAATATGTGTGCAAATCAACATTTGGAGTCAATTGGTTCAGTGGCTCATAAACACAAACGCAGAATCATTTTATTTATTATATTTAGGAATTTTAGTGGGCGTCTGAGTACCTACAAACATAATAATATAAATAATAAAAAATATTACGTGTAAGTCGTGAATACGGGGGCCGTGAACGCCACGCCACAACCGTCATGTTTTTATACGAGAAAATGCGCGCCAGTTTTTATTTTTTACGTTTTATGTTTCACGCCGTTCTTAATTTTCAATTTCTGACGGCGACGTACGTCATTCATTTTATGCGATGGAATATGCTCAGAACATTATGAATACTATTCAGGAAAAGGTTTCTAAAAAGTTCTACGCGGATCATTGTAAGTAAAACTGTAAATAGTATAATAATTATTCGTTATTATATTATGTATTTGTGCTAGATTCTACACGGTTTTAAAAATTAGACATTAGTTCTACATGACCAAATATAATCTATTTTGATCGGTTTAATTGTTATTATCTTAAAATATATTTTAACATTTGCAGCAATGACAATATTAAACTCACAAAACTTAAAACGATTTTTCACAATACCGAATATAATCTTAATGGTAGCGCAGTAGGTCCTAAGTCAATATGAAGTGGGCAGGAATAATATTCGTCTAAAATTTAGCTAATTTATACGAAGTTATTTTGTGTAGGAATCAATGTTTTACAACTTAAAACAGCGTAGGACCTTAAAATACATTATACAATCGTTATACTCGAATAGGAATGTTTTACACATCTCTACCTATGGTCTTGTCTACCATGTCGAGTGTAGGAACTTACATATGCCCAAATTAATATTTCTATATATTCTCTAGTTTAATCGCATATATCTCTGCAGAAACGACTAGGAATTAATTTCTGAAGAGTAAACAAAATTCATTGATAAACTATACGTAATACTATGATTTTATTTGATTATTTTTATTAAAATGTGTACAATATATTATAGTCGTGTCATAATATTACATACAAACTTAATGCACTAAAAGGAATAACAATAAAGGCGGTAATATTTTAAAATACTTATTCCCGGAAATTATTAGTTTGACTTTAAGGATCCTTAAATGTTACTTGAACGTTTTGCACGAACGTACATCGGTATCAAAGTTAAGTATATATTATGATGACACGTATTCATTTAAAATAATTATATTGATATATTGACTATCGTTACCGATATAAAACTTTGTTATTTATGTTTAAAATAACAAGTAATTGTCGTTTTAATTTTTGATTAACACAATATATTATTTAATTATTTCGGTATCGCTATGGTTTCCGATTATTATTGTTTTTATCAGTATTAAATTATTACGTGCAAAAAGTGGTACAAAGTTCATTATAAAATTATTATAATAACGTTGTTTGAATGGATAATAAAATTCACAGTATGGTCTACATACATTTTTGAGACGATTATAATATTCTATAAATATAGGTACACGCCCGCATATGATGCAAAGGTCATACCATAATAATAGCACATATAAAAAAAAGCAGAGGATAGACGCTGTTTATTTATTTATGTGTCGTGTATTTCGCGAATGACGTGTATTTTTTTATAGGAAACTACGTGATACGTATCGTGTAAAATACTAATTTAATAAAACCGAAACATAGACCTGGTAAATAACCACACGATCTATAATATAGGTAGTGTTATTTTTATGCATATATTATATATTATAAATAAAGAATGATTCATAAAGCATGCTATCATCCTCTTTTTCTTAGACAATTAATCTGATTTTTGACTTTTAAATATACTTGAAGATAATATTAATTTTAAACTTTTGAGTTTTTCTATACTACCTAGTACCTACCTAATTATAAGGAGTGTTATGTGAAAAGACACAAACTTTTGTAATCAAAATCTAAACAAATAATTTTTAAGTAATTTAATCCTGTGAAAAATGTAAAGTTTAGAAGATATGGGTTATGATTATTTGACAATTATATTAATTAATTAAAATTTTTATTTTTAAAAATGTTCCAAGTATAATAAATACTAGATCCGATATTACATGTATTTAATAAATGTATAAAACCATTTTTAGAACTAATAACTAAAATAAAAATATTTTTATAACTGAAAACCTACTCATTGAAATTTTGAATCAGTTACTTACATTTTATTAAAAAAAAATAAAAATATCAGCTAAATAATTTAAGTACGATAAAAAAATGGTAGGTACTAATTTCAAAAGTAAATTTTTTTATCGATGGTCTTTAAATATTTTTAAAAATTCAAAAATCAGAATTTGAATAAATTAATTCTTAAAGGGAAAGGGAGTATTATTCTTGGTGAACTATCCTGTATATGACTGTAGTTTGTGACTATAAGTAGTTTGCTCTACGTTTACTAGTTTAAATAAATGGTGAGATATTATATCTGTGGCTTGTTTTTACATTTGGCAGTCCCGCATCCTGCTCAGTGGTTGAATTCGGTATTTATATTAAAGTGACCAGAAATGAGTGAGGGGATATTAAAATGCCGTAAATTATACTCACGTTTCGTCCGTTCAAAATAATATAATATATTAGTATAAATTAGAGGTGCATTTATTTATTTCGTGCTTACTATATGCAATCACTGCATTCAAATTTGAATACACATCTACTAACACAACTTATTTTATATGGACAGGTATTGAAAGTCGTAAATCGTGTCAAATAGATTTCAAAGTATTATTAACATATCAAAAATAACTTTTTTTTAAATAAGGATAAAGGTCTGTCGATATTTATGTCGATGCAATCGACTTTTCAAACTAGTTAAAACCTAGTCTAACGCTTTCGGTAACACTTTATGTATAAACAAGAATTAAAGAAACGTATGTACTTCGACCCGATAAGAGTAAGACGATAGTAATGTTAATGATATTTATTATATATGTACAATATTTTATTATAATACTTTTTGTTCAAATCAATAGATAGGTACCTATAGTTTCAGCCAATTTAAAATCCCATGTTGGCCGTATTACAATATCCTAAAAAAAACGATTGGAAACGTTCTGAAGTCAGTGAAAAAAAATCGCAATATATACTTAAGTATAAAAATATATAGTTTTATTATAATTTAAGTTGCTATTCACTATTTATAGGTAAATTTTTTTTTCGGTTTACTATCAATTAATCAATTTTAACAATAAAAGTTTTTGTTAATATATGAGATATATTTTTGAAAGCAGATGGTCATTTATTAAAGTATTGTATTGTTACTATGAATGACAATCTTAAGTGAATTAAATTATGCTAAAATTAAGTACAAATTATATATTATATATTTAAGTAATTAGTTTTCAATTTTCTGAATGGATGTAATAATTGAATTTTTCAAAATTGTAAAATTTCTGCAGTTGTGTGGTACCTAGAAATTTAGTCGACTCTCAAAATTTTCCGATGTTGTCAAGCAAGTCATCGGGAAATTAATCTGACTAAGCCAAATCAAGACATTCAAGAGAAAACAGAGCATCCAAATTTTAGATAAGTATAGGTTATTGTCTTCCGATATATATTTACATTAACCTATGTTAATGCATAGCTTCCTACAAGGAATTTATATAACCGTATGTAAACTTTAGCCGATTCATAAAAAATTTAAAAAATTTAAATGACTTTATTTTTATTATTTTTAAAAGATAATACTGTATTAACTTGATGATGAAACAAATAAAAAAAAAATTGAGTTACAAGGTGACAAAAAAAAAATATTATATTATTGAGATTTCTTCAAAAAACAATCAATAAAATATTATCATTGAAAACGGTTATTTGTCAGTATTATATTATCATAATAATAAACCATTATGTAATAATTGGTGTAATGCATGTTTAAAGTATGTATATGCATGTTAATTATTATTAAAAACCCAAATGTGTATTGATTTTTAAAATATAGTTTAGAAAACCGCAGTAAAACCCAAATGTATTATTATATTAACGATACTTTGTATAATTGAATGTAATAAAAAAATAATCTGTAAATTTTGAATAGTTTAAATATATACGTTCGGAATGAAACTAATTAAAAATTATATTACATGACTTTGTAATTTTTTTTACTAAAGTTCAGTTTTGATTGATAACCTCAAAATATTTTAAAACCAACTTCGTCATAATATGACGTTATATATTTATAGGTATAATGATACCTACTAAATTATTATAATGATTTATGTTTATCAATGACCCCGTCTCAAGTTATATGTAGAAATGCATATTTTTTAAATCACAAATAATATCCTCAGATTTTTTAATTGGAAATTTGTTTTTAGAAATACATAAAAACCATTGTGTTAATAATTAACAGTGCCTAACAAAACGTTCCTATATTGAAAATCTGAAGCGAAAAATCCTATTAACCGAAAACCATTAATTTCCATTCCACGGGAGCATATTTGCGTGGCACGGTTGCTATCGGCGATGTGATCATGTCTGTTTTTTAATACCTATCAAAAAAAGCCATAACAATTTGATGTTCGAATGTAACGGTATGATAACGATACGGGACTAGTTTTCCGCTAATGGAAAATTGTAATTTAAACTACCTATAAATTTATAAAATAATAATGAACATTTTGCTTAAAAACAATTTGATTTTTTTTTTTTTTACAGAGAATTTATATTATTCCTGACAATTGAACACGTAGAAAAAAATTCTATTCAAGTTTTCAGAAAAAATAAAAATAAAAATAAAACCGTTGTTCATAATGCAGCGATAGTCTGCAGTGAATGAAAGTTGGAGTGCGTGACGAGGTTTAAAACAAATATTTATGATAATATAATATTATGTGCATTATTATTGTACCTATTAGATGCTGACAACTCGAATTCGAGACACTGCACACGGAAAAATAACTCCCTGAGATGATAGATACGTAGAACACAACGACCTAACCTCGTTTCGACTGTGCCGCGGTGTTCAGTAACCATTGTCTTTAGATTTTTAACCCAATGCTAATGATGATATATATATTATTACGTAACTAATTTAAGTTTTTTTCGAATACACGACTGTGCATATTATTATTGTATATACATTTCGAGGACTCGGAGAAATTTGACCAAGACGACAGTCATCGCAAGCGGTTATAATGTATTACTATTATAGGCATTAAATAGTTTCTCGAGGTTTGTCGGAAATCATAAATTAATAGGTATACGTATACATGAAGAAAAAAACCAAGACGACCATGTTTATATACAAAGTAATTCTTTTATCTTAGCGCAAACATAAATAAATGTGAGGCATTTTTTTTAGTTATACTCGTATTTTTTTCATTTAAAGTTTGAGAACCCGTGTTTATTCTATGAATATTCTAATATATAATAGGAATTTGATCTTAAGGGTGTGAGAACCTACGTGTTTTTAATACAACGAAAGTCTCTAGCAGGAAAAATTCTCACGCTTCATGAAATGTCTGAATTTAATGATTTTTTAATATACAAGTATAGGTTAAGATTACTACTTTGTTACATTAAATTAATTAAATTGTATTATTTATTATTAGATAATCTTATAGACTCATTATTTTTACTGTCATTATATTGTAAATTTGAATATTAATTAATTTTTTTTTTTTGTATAATTGTAATTATTTTTTTTACTATAAGCACAAATTATGTTTATACCATTAATATAAAATAAGATTCAATAAATTAAATAAATTATATTAACTTTAAAAAGACTGAGGACTTGAGTGAAGAAACCATTCAATAATAGAACTTTATGCCATGGGAAAGATTAATCAATTTGTAAGTCACGACACACCAAGTTCGTATCTTTTGGGGTCACCAGGAATACTGGGGACAGAAGATTCTGTGATCAAAGGCTTATGATGATTGTGGAAATTGAAATACAATGTCACGGTAGTGTTTTATACTGTTAGAATAAAAAGATATTTATGATAGGGAATATAATTTGTGGCATTGTTTAAGACTTTAGATGTTTAATAAAGGCATTTGGATTTGATTAGGTTTGGAGAATATTAATGTACGTTAAATTTATACGTTACCGCCACTGACCACTGCACTCGAGAATAATTAGAAATGTTAAATTAGTCATAGACAAAAGACATAGAATGGATGATAAGAACTATTTATGGCTATATATAATTTTTGGCTTCAACAGCCGTTATAGTGACAAGAAACGTCATAGTCGACGATAAGGATCTGTAACGAAACGTTTCCATTATAATAGGAACGTTCAAACATGCTCACAAGCAACTGTAGTCGACCAGTTGATTAGAAAAAACAATTTTGTTGATATTTTACTTTTTTTAGTTTTGCGTAACTGCTGGAAATATGTATCCTACGCATGTTATTAGTGCTGCAACACTAAGAATACATTGCATTTTAGTCTGATGTTGATCGATATGCAGACGTCGGCCAATCTAATGTATTTAATTTATAACATTCTCATACGAATAATTTAATTTGTGTGTGTGTTTAAAAATATATATATTAGATAAAGTGTTCATAAAATAGTTTATAATTAATAATTTTACAGTTGTGAAGATTTAACAATAAAATGTATATAGTTCATTTTAAAAACTCGAATTAAGTATAGCTACGTTTATCGGAATTTGATAGAAGTATTTCATTTTCTAAGTCTTGTAGATAAACATAAAACGCACAGACGTTAAATAAAACCAAAAAGTAAAATTTTGGCATTTAAAATAATTTAATTAACTGTAATTAAATTTAAAAAAAAAAAAAACAGAATTAAGCTATAGTACTCTAACTATACTATAATTTACAATAAAAAAACAGGTATACATTTTTAAGAAAAAAAATATCTAATGTTCTTGTTTTGTGTCTTAGTTAAAAAACAATGCAATAAAATTAGTCTTAGTATAACGAAATTAAAAAAGATTTTAAAGTATCATACAGCAAGCAATAATATTACTATTATAATTAGGTTTTTAATTAATTATACGTAAGTATCTTACAGGAAATATTAAATCGACATATAAACCGGCTTTTTGTTATTACAAATCTATACAATATGTCAAAACAGCAATTGATTATATTATAAATATTTAATAACATATATATATATATATATATATTTATAAATATTTTTATTACGTTAGCATATTGGTTGATGAGTTACCTGTATTTCATTATAGTTGCTTTACAACGTCAGTGTTAGTGTGCAAAAGAGAAGTATAATAATATGCATAATATATATAAACCAACTATCAACTATATCTCGCATGGCGAACAAATCGAAAACTTTCGATAAATTGTAGGATGATGATCATTGATCACTCAATGATTTGGATCGTTAAAATATATTTCAATATTTTAACGTCGATAACATACAAGACATACTATGAACATTAAAGGAAACAAGACGCTTGATTAACATGCCAAAAATGCTACGAAAAACATGAAAATAATACAAAAAAAGTGTAGATAGATACTATAGGACCAAAAACCGATGACATATATAAACGTATAAAATAAATTTCTGACAACAGATGATTCAATATATGAAATCAACAAAATAATAAATTAAATATGTTTAAAAAAATTAAAAATAGGTAGATTGACATCACTTTTAAAAGAAAAAAATAATCACTAGAATCAGTATTAAATGTTTAAATCACTTGCGAAATGCGAATCTAGTTGTGAAGTTTGTGGTGTTCGCGTTGAAAAACATAATAATCGAATGCATGAAATATGAACGTGATCGATAAGAATTAATTTGGAAGAAAGTTTTGATATATCACTGAAACTTAAAGCCAAAGAAAATGCAAAGACGTTAACACTTTTAAAATTAATAAACTTCAACAGCACAATAATTATTAAAAAAATAATGAATGTCATCTCATGTTATCTTAATCTATCCTTTTTAATTGCATACTTGTATTTACACAAATTTTTTTTATTAATGATCATGGAAAGTTTAAAGACCAACAAAACTAAATAAATATTATTACACAGTTTTTATACCGAGTGCGTATTAATGTCGTGTTATGCAGATGCCGCCGCGAAATTTTAGAATCTTACCTATAAGCTATATTATCATACGATTTACCGAGCTTTTCCTTCGCGGTACCTATCTATACGTTAATAATATTATAAAATATAATATTTTATTGTATTTCGTTGCCCACGTTATGGTAATTAGATCGAAAGACAATGGATCGCGGCGCGCGAGGGTGAATTAATATTTATCACGTGCGGTACACGAATCGCGAGTGAACTCCTCAGAGGCTGAGCGGGTAGTAGTTATTGCGCGGCTCCAAAAACCGCACTCGAACCCCTTCCCGTATCGTTATTATTATTGTTCTCACACTGTGAGCAAAACAGACCTGGGTGCCTGCGTGCGGCTGGCGTTCGTCCAAATTTTAATAACTTGCGAGAGAACTGTTTTTTCTCGGTCTCGGTGTCGCAGTCGTTCTCTCTCTCTCTTTCTCTCACTTCATTTGTATAGGTATATAATATATATATATATATTCTTTTTATCCTTTTTTACCGACGTGTTCAATGGGCGCCACACTTACCCATTCCCGCTCGTGCAATACGCGATGTGTATACACACATTTAACCCGAATTTTCCGTCTGCATTAACCACAATTTAGAACGTCTTATACGCGTCTGCACCCCTTATAATAGCTGTATAGAGTGCATAAATATAATATAATAGCATAATATGCGCATTACGCGTATACACGCGCTGCGCGGGAACGAATGTATACATATATATGCTATATGGCACCGAGGAATGTGTAAAAACCATTAGCAGCGCAGAAAGAACGAAAAAACTCGAGAAAATTAATTATCGTTTTCTCGCCCCTTTTTATTATCCGCACCCGTCGGAAGCTACCACCTCGACCCTACACGTCCTGCTCGAGTATCTATACAAACAATATTATTGTAATCGTAACAACAATAATATCTATACCGGGCCGTTATTAAATATTGTAGATACCAATTTTTTCTGGTCATACGCACAACTGCGCAGTACTCGATCCCGTTGCATAATAATTCGTAAAATATACGACGGACGACACCGCCGCGTCATCACTCATGATCATCGTCATCTTGTTTTTGTTATATTTACCTATGAATTATTATTGTAATATTCTATTTTCCTTTAAATCAATGACCGTTATATGGCCGTCAACCGTTATTATATATTTTCGTTGTTCTAAATACGATATTTTTGAATTTCGTTGATTATCAACTAATTAGGTTAGGTAATATAACTTTGATCGCGATGAGCAAAACCAAAATGTATTGCTTAACGAAAATATTTATTTTATTGCCAGTGTTGGAGAGTAATGCTTAAATTAGTTTGTAAGTAACTAATACAATTATATTTTAAGTAATTTAATGTTAATTTAATAACATTTGATTGTAAGTGATTCCTGTTTTGTAATACAATAAAATTACTATAAGACTCATAACTTAAATATATATATTTTTTTTAATACACTTTAAGAACCAATTCATAATATTCTGTGTAAATATATCATATAAATATAATTTTCTCACAGTAACATTTAATTTTAAATTAATAATTTCGAAAATTAGTTTTTATTTATAAATTTAAATTATAAAGATGAAAATGTGTTTAAAAATATTATTGTTTTCTTTGTTTTTTAAATTAATATTTTATATTACAATTATTGCATATGGTTGTTTGTCATTGCTAAGAAATGTGTTAAAACATATTATTAAGCTTTAGTGACATTTTTGAATAAGTGAAGAAACTTTTGATGAAGCCATATTTTAATTCAGAAGTAATGGATTCAAATGAAAAAAAGTAACTTAAGAATACATTAATTATAATTTTAAAAGATAATTCGTAATGTAATTCAATTAAAAAGTTATTTCCTCAACACTAAAAAATGCTTAATACACACTTTGGAATATTATGTATATTGTTATGTTAAAATTTGTCGGGACAAAACAATTAGTGAGTCGTTGATGGATGATCTGAGACTTCAGATGATAATTCACTCGATGTTTGAAAAACTAAGATCGTGTAGTTTTTTATTGCTCATGGTATAATAAAATTATACAGACTAACTGTTTAAGTGATGCTCACATGTGCTGTTTTTGTCTTAAAAATTGTACAATACGACAAACTTGTGTGTTTTAAATATTATACCAAATTGACTTATCATTATTAAAGTTCACGATAAAAGTTTCCGTTATTTAGTTATTATTTTATTTTATTTTATATTTTAGTTAAAAAAAGTTATACCTATGTAAATATTACAGATAACAAACGCTCATAACTCGCTTTATAATTAAAGTATTAAAAATAAAATAAAAATTAATGAAATAATGCAGATAATATTTTTACCTTTGAATTTGATAATATATAGGCCGATTTATTGAAATATAAAAACTGACAACGCAAAATATATTCGTTAAACAAATATTTTCAATTTTCTATACATTTATATTATAAGGACCAAGCACATAAAG